CCCCAAAACCCCAAAACCCCAAAACCCCAAGATGCTAATTGTATTATTTCTCTGAGAATATACATCTATAATAAAATAAAATAATAATGTCTCTCATTTACTCAAAAGCTTCAAATGTAATATCTACGGTTACGATTTTCCTATTCACATTCTCTTTGAACTTTAGCTGCATCTAAAATTCTTATAAGCTTGTCTCTTTCTAATTAGAGCTTTATTAACATATTTTCTTATCTTTAAATGCCTTTACTTATAGTTGTCAATTCGTATTTCTTTACTTGCACTAATGTTTACTGACTATTATCTCCTTCAAATTTATCAATAAATTCAAATACTTCGTTCATTTTTTCTTTCTATAAGTCCAGTTCCACCTAAAAACTTACTATCTTTTAATCTATTGATGCTAATTGAATGTGATTATTGTCTTGATTTTGATTTATACTCTATTCATGTTTTTGCTAAGCAATTTCAAAAGCATTAATGTGGTAGTTCTATTAAGCCTTTGATTAAACTTAATCATGCTTTGATTAATAATCATTTTGCGATTACTAATTAAAACCAAATTTCAAACTTTAATCCTCATATTTATTGACACTAAATAGGTTTTATTTATTCTTATCATTGTATCCTCTCCTTCCCAGTAAGTAGTCTATATACATTTGTTTATATTACTTTAAAGTAAGAAAGACCTATTTTAACTTAGTACCATCAAGCTATCTGAAGATATAGCCAGGATTTTCTCTAATGTCAGTTTTTAATCTTTCAATATTTGCCATCTTTGTTTAGATTTCCTAAAGTTCAGACTAAAATCTGTAAATATAGTTATCATTCTATGATATTTCTTCATTGATGAATGCCTTTCTTAAATCTCGATCCATTAATAAAACTGTGTCTAAGTTGTATATATCAAACTCAATCTTATTTAATTGATCATGTTCGTTTTGAAGACACTGATTTTATTGCTCTAGGTCTCGTATGTTGTCCTCTGCAATTGTTTTAGCTTCGTTAAGCCACTTTTCGATATCTGATACTTAGTAAATATGCTCATCACTTTCGGTATTCAGAATTTCTTCTTCAAAGTTTCGTTGCACTTTTTAGCTTTCAATGTTGATATGCTTTTCCATTTAAATATAATTCTGACAAATTACTTTAATTCTCCTTGATGGGGTTTTGGGGTTTTGGGG